CGAGAGTATCTCTTTTTCGTTAATAAATAATTCCTTTATGATTTGATATTGAATTTTGATGAAAATATGTGATTTTGAGAACTTTATAGATGCTATTCCTCGTAAAGTTTGGCGTTGGACATAAAACATTCATTTCGATCTTAAAACAAAGTTTTTTGTAGGTATTTCTTGACCGGTCTAAAACGCTTTGACCCGTGAAAATCCCATACATTCTCACCAATTTTTGATCGCTCGTATTTCTGTTAAAAAGCATCATTTTGGCTCAAAATTTAGTGATGATCCTTTAATTTAGATGTTCCCGTAAGGACAATAATAATCTTTCGCTAATTTAGCCTCTAAATAGCTTTTTTTAGAATATCACGTGATAATTGCAAACCAAGAATACTTTACACGCGTGAAATCACACAATCATGTACAGACAGATGATGAAGGAATGGAATTATTTCAAAAACTAACAACGTTATGAGTAAAAAACCGACTTTGAAATCTTAAGATTATATAATCGCTTAATRAAACGGTATTGTATTTAAGGCAGTTTTAACTTAAGCTTACCTTAACCTGATCAACAGAAAGACCTGTTTCCTTTGCAGCTTCTTCTATTATGTTATTATTTTTGGCTGCTTTGCTGGTCATCGRCCGCTCATTAWAATATTTCTCTAGTATTTMTCGCTGTGTGTCACTCTTGTGAGTGTAAGTGGACGGTCTCTGATTCATTGTCTCCCACAGTTCTAAATTAAAAACCGACNCTCCCCACTTGCCAAGAAACCAAAAAAATCAAAGAAGAAAGAGAAGAAGAGATAACAGAATCTCCGATCATGACGGACGAGCTTAAAAAGAAGTTGGACAAAATCCTCGAGAAAGTCTCAAAAATCGACGATGTCAACGAGTCAGTCAGACGTATAGAAAACTCAATAAGCAACCTCGAAGAAAGACTGTCAACGGTAGAGGGAATACAACAAACGGCCTTAAAAGACATCGAAGATCTGAAAGAATCAAAGACGTTTACGGATTCAAGTGCTATCGAGGGAACCAACTCCAAGCTAGATGAAGTGTCGCAACAAATGAAAAAAAACTATGAACAGCGAATGGTGGATTTAGAAACCAAAAAGCTCTACTTAAAAGCATACTCAATGCGTGAGAATATAAGATTTCTCAATATTGAAGAAGACGAAGGGGAAGATGTTGAAGAAAAACTTAGAGCCTTTCTACAAGACGAGCTAGAGATCTATGATAAAAACATAGAGATTCAAAGAGTCCACAGAAGTGGCAAACCTAGAGGCTCAAAGCCGAGAGCAATATTGGCAAGATTCTTAAGATTTAAAGATGTGGAAAACATTCTCTCTAGAGGAAAAATGTTAAAAGGAACGGAATATGCAATGTTCACCGATCTTCCCCCAGAATTGGTTGAAAGATGCAGAAAATTGATGCCTATACTGAAGAAGGCAAAGCAGAATAACATAAAGGCGGCTTTTAGTAAATCGATGCCAGATAAACTATTTGTCAAGGGTAAAGAGTGGCAAGTAGGTGTAGATTTGAAAATTTACACTGTTAATTTAAAAAAAATTTAATTCACATATCAATACTGTATTTCATGTACACATTATTTGACAAGGTTATAAGGATTGGCAAGTAGGTGAAGATTTAATAATCTAATCTGTTAGACATGAAACCATCAAAATATATATTCTCTCTGTTCATAATATAATGCATTCAACATTATTACTTAGATCGTTTAACGGTTTGGCGGAGAGCTGAATCCGTCAAGGCTATAGAAATGCCTTTACACCCGAATTATCAGTTTTTTCTAACTTCGTTGTGTTTTATTCGTTTGAATTTGGTTCATGTTGTTCTATTTGTTGTTCATGGCATAAATTATGTAAAATATGTTTTATTTTCTGGTGACAATGGATGATTTTCAATTTCAATTTATATCATTAAATGTCAGCGGCCCAAAAATCAACAATTGGCTAATAAAACACGGTAGTAATAACGGTATCACATTTTTACAAGAAACGCATAGTCAATCTGATGTAGAATATGAATGGTCAAAGAGAACAAGAGGAAAGTTGATTATGTCCCACGGGGAAACAAATAGTAAAGGAACGGCTATTCTTTTTGGAAGTGATTTAACTTACACAATCAAAGAAGAAATATTACACGATGATGATATATATGTTATAGTGCTCGCTGAAGTTCAAAATAGTAATTTTCTCTTAATAAACTCATATGTGCCAAACGTAGAAAAGGATCAAGTAATATTAATGAATGAAATTATTTGCAAAGTTAATTCGATGGACTTTCCAATAGAAACTTTTATTATATAAACTATAGTGTTTTAAAAGGATTTCCGCAACTGAGAAATTTCGTATTTAAGCACACGTAAAGATACGATATTTTTCACATGTGAAATTATAAACCAATCAGATTTTCGCATTCTATGACGTCATTTTCCACAGGCGCGAAAATGATCGGCAGCTTTGCCTTTGCCTTGGTTTGTTCACTGGAGTTTTCTACATCTTTCTTCAAAAAAACCTTCAAAAAATGGCAGAAAGGTTTGTCACATTTAATCTAGAAGACGTGGAAGA